CAAATTACCCACCTCAAGAAGCGGTGTGGCAGCTTGGGCTAGTTGGTATGGCATGACGATAGTTATAGCGCGAGAACAAAACGACGACACAGAGACAAGAAGGACACGAGCGCTCGTGTCCTCCGTGTCCTTCTTGTCTCTGTGTCGTCGTTTTGTTCGCGCGCTATAACTATCATCAAGAAGCGGATCGACCAGACCAACTCACGTCACTGTTGCCGTGCACAACGTTGCCCGGCCTTACTGCGCTAGTAGCAGTCGACTGAAAGCAGCAGGAGCCACAGCATCAACAACAAATTTTGATCAATTTCCGGCCATTGGCTTCGAGATTGCAGACTTTTTTTTTTTGTTCAACTGCACCCCGATAGATGGCACCACTTGGCCCACGTAACGATGCGAAAATTGAATTTTTTGAATCGCTCCCACCATTATTCACAGTAACGTCCAGCGGTTTTGGGACGTTAAACCCCACAAACCAACGTCCGGCGGTTCTTTTTCCATGAATCAAACAGAAACGAACAAGCAGCATTTTATTGTGTCCCTTGATGCATGGAAGGTTCTTTATTTAGTACAGTAGATCGATTACTAGTAATAGTAAGCGGTCCGTCTGATGTCATCAAGATCATTTTGAAAATGTCCTACTGCGGCGCATGTGTCCGTGTGTATTAACCTTAATTTCTCGGTAAGTAGGGCACTGTTGATAATATTGTCGTTTTAGATATTGTCATACACTGAGCTTTCAATCTGATGTAAATTGTTATTTGACTTTAGTGTACCTTTAAGGGAGAACAGCCTTCCAATAGAGAAAGTATTAGGAATAAGCTTTTACAATAAATTTTGGATATAACAAACTTATTCTCGTGTACTACAATATGGAATGAGTGTAATGCTGCGAACAGTTTTCAGATGAAATTATAATTACAGTCAAACACCTTTATAAGAGAAAGAGACACTGATTTAACAGAGAAATGGGTGTAGGAGACTGCAGTCTGTCTACATTGAAATAGAGGTTGATAAAAAATGGCATATGTGGTACTTTGCTTATCAGAGACACCTCACATGAGGGACAGGAATTGCTCTCTGGTGCACCCCTCTCATAAAAGCGCCATTCAGCAGATGGAAATTCAAGGTTTGTGCCATGACTACCATCAAAAACAAAATAAAGTTAAAAAAATCTATGAGCAGAAAATCAGCATTCTTTCCTCGGCACACTGTGATACAGAGCTTGAGCGTGTTACAGCAGTCCTGGCTGTTCTAGGTTATGACTAGAAACCGGATTAGATACAAATGTCTACTTTGTTTATTGCATTCCTATCATACCATTTTGATACATAAGCATGAATTAGAGGTTAAGAAGGGCTTTTATAGTGTTAAAACAGTGTCTATAAATGACTATTTTTAACGTTTGTGCTTAAACTGCGACAAGTGTCTGTCAATGCCTACTTTGAAAACCGGTGCCTTAATTGACACTATTTAACCTCAAATTTTGCCATCAGGTAAAGTTAGAGACCGGGCAAAATTGAGCTTTTGGATGTCTATGGGGTGCAACCTATACTCTATCTCAGAAGTTCATTTCAGCACTGTCAAGGTTACAAGTCCCCTTAGCCAATAAGAAGTACCATTAGCCTTTACACATGAATTGACCTACGTCGCATCACACGCTCGTCATCTCCCCGGCATCTGTTCGCACACGTATTGAACAGCAGGTGCTTCTGTCCAGCTGCAGGATGATGGAGAACAAAAGCAAAACAGTGGAGTGTGATCAGGGGAAGGTAGGGTCTAGATAAAAACAAAAACACAGATGCCCACGTAGTTTCTGTTGTGCTTGACATTTACCTACTTCTTAAAGGGCACTTCACAAGGCCACATGAGATATTGTAGTTAGACACTGAAAGTAGTTGCATGCCACCACTCTGTACTACAATACTTCTTTAGCTGGTTCATTACGAGCCACATAAGCACAATGCGGGGAGGTGAGCTTCAAACCTTTGTCACTAGCCTGGTGTGTAGACTTCGCAAGCCTTGCAAGCCAAATTCATTCCTTGCCCTCTTCGGTATCGGAGCAACTCAGAGCAGGAAGATCACATGACGCAGATGCATCAACACGTCAAGCGCACGCAAGCTTACATTCACATGACATACCTTTGCCAGGTCGTGAACGCAAGTGGTGTTATGTCATTTCGACATTCTCTAAAATGCACATCTCTATTTCTGTCGAATGGATCCCTCTATGCGCGCATCTTTGGAGAAACTGGTATGAATGATGTATCCTTACCACGATACACAGAGTCGCACCGCTGCAACTGCCCTAAGGGACGACGCACCAAAAATACGTCAAGCATTGTCAGGGCTGGCGCTGGCACAATTTGAAATTGGCGAGAACACCAATGCAGACGAAATGGAGGCAGCTTAGTCTCGCTCGATACGAAGTTAAAAAAAAATTATGCGCACAGATTCCATTTGTATGTTCAAATATTTCTGTCAACTTCCATTATTTTCAAGCAACAGAGTGCACAAATTACACACGTTGCCTTGAATAATTCTCCCAATGTCATCTACTACTTTGAAGTACGCAAAACGATTCCATGTTGTATGCCACCTTTTATATGTTGGGAACCGTGGCCGTGAGATGGAGGGCAAGCAGTGTTCAGTCTGAAATGCAGCTTAGTGCTGCAAAACTTGGCTGACAAGATCTTGAGCATCCAGTGCATGCATTTCTTTTGTCTGCTCGAAATGGTCAAACCAGGTGAGGAACCATTTAAAGTATTCACAGAGGAGAAATGACCCTGTGCAACTAGACCCGGTTAATGAGAGGCTAAAAGGCCCTTCTGGTCTGGCTATTCGCTCCTCTGCGGCCCTTTTCACCCATGCCAAACTGAAAGAGACCCAGGAGCAGGCTTATTCGCCGGTGGCTACTGAACTCACCATGACGGACAATAAAAGAAGAAACTGTGCTCTGAAAACCCCGCGGGAGAAAAATTGCATGCTTATGCTAACCCATTGGTGCTTTTGTACCATCAGAAACTAAACCACTTCTTGCTTTTTTTTTTGTAGGCACAGGTCCCGCACACATTTCTTTGAATATCTGAATTTAAAAAAAAGTTCTTGTGCCTATATTTATAATTTTGGTGGCCCAAAACTGTTTTGCCTGACGATTTTAGGTACCTAAAACTCAATTTGACATGACATAACATTCCAACAAGCTATTGACCCAAGCACATTAAGCATTGAGCTTGCAGCACATATCTAAATGGAAGATACAGATCGTATAATACTTAAGTTCTATACAAAAAAGAATCTCAATGATATAAAAAACAAACACACTTTCTTCTTTGATAAATTATTTGTCTCTACAAGTTACCCCCCCCTCCCCCTATGGTGCTCACAGCAATGCATGCAACTGAACTGCAGTATACTCCGGTTCAAATGAAACCTGAAGGGACCAGGAAAATGCGTTTCGTTCAAGAGGAAGATCATTCACTGAGAGATAAATAGGGGTACAATATTCAAGTACAAAACCAATCATATTAGCGGCAGCTCCATTCAGGCAGCAATTTTGTTTAAGGTAGTTTCGTTTAATGGGAGTCTACTATACTTGATTGATTGATTTGTGGGGTTTAACGTACCAAAACCACGACACAATTATGAGAGACGCCATAGTAGAGGGCTCCGGAAATTGCAACTACCTGCGTTTTTTAACGTGCACCCAAATCTGAACACACAACATTTCCGCCTTCATCGAAAATTCAGTTGCCGCAGCCGGGATACAAACCTGCGACCTGTAGGTCAGCAGCCGAGTACCTTAGCCACTAAACCACCGCAGCGGGGCAAGCTGTACTTGACAGAAGCATCACTAGTGTTACATAGCGTACTAGCTTCCTACATGCAGTTACTATTGAAATGAAATAAAACAAGAAGAGCGGATAGCAAGGCCGCTGGCATGGTCAGCGCAGCCTAGCATTAGTCAGCTAGCTCGAGGGTCTCTGTCTAACTCCGGTATGCCTTAATATATCGCTAGGTAAATTGGCGCTTTCCATTAATGACACTTCTTATTCCACACCTCTTGTTCCAGCTGGTACTAGGCATGGCTGGCAGATGAAAAGCACACATCGTGCGACAGTGCCAGTTGGGACATGCTTCTAGTGTGGCAGAGACGCCAACCAAGAGCATTGATCCAGCTAAGAATAGAACAAGGCAGATCATATCGTATCCTTGAACTAGCCTTCCAACACTGGGCTCAACTAACCATGCCAAAAGCTATGCTTTCTGCCATTTGCATTCAGTATTTTCATCAACCGTACATACAGGGGTGCTCCATATGACTTGCAACAAGGAAGAGCGTGACCTTACGAGTTCAAAAGTTGCGCTTGGCTTCAACTTGTTTTTATTCTAACAACTAAATATTATTTTCTTATTTGGGATCATACCCAAATGAGAGAAATGCACTTAGTGATGAAAATATGGGCCAGTGGAAGCCATGCACAATCTTTATTTTAAACTCTTGAGGCCCCCGCGTTGCAAGTCATATTGACCGCAGCTGTACATGCTAATCCCCACTTTGCGAGTCGCTGTGTCTCAACCAACAGCATCAAACCATTTCTAGCAACACAGACATGAATGTCAATACTGTGACAATGAAAGCTCTGCCTTCTGGCATCATTCAAAAAAAAAAAAAAAATTGCACCCGTTGATCATCATTATAAGCAAGTCTCGATACCACAGCTTTGTCCTTGAAAAATTTGCATCTCTTTCGCTGGCCTTACAACAGATGTTACATATTCTTAATGTTCTTTCGGAGTGGAAAAGACAAGTGATATTACCAAACAAGGCATTCAGAACGTGGCATTAACAACTTGATGAGTTAAGAAATCTCTTTGTAAAACTTTGAGCGCAAACAAACTAACGTATTGGCCGCTTTTGCAGAACATTCCGTAAATTATTTTATATTTCACGAGAAGCCTAGTGTGCATATATTGAAGCCTGCGTCAAGAATAAGCGCTTACCTGATGCTCAGTGAGGGTGAGCTTGCTAAAGAACTTCCGTTGGCACACTCTGCACTCTAGCGATTTGGCACCTTTTGCAGATTCTGGGAAAGCAAGCATTAACAACTGTGACTGCTCAGAGATATACTGGTTTAGGAAGGGGCATTGGACTGTCACACAGCTGATCACTGTTGTTCATTCTATTGCGTCAACTCTTGACAAAAACAAACAAATTAACAATTTTTCTAGACTTCCAAAAAGCCTTCGATATTGTCCCTTACGATTAAATTAATTCTGAAGCTTGAAAATGCAAGAATTCCAGGATTGTTCATTTCTTGGGCTGGTGCATATCTGAACTGGAATCAATTCATAGTAGTTAATGGTGAAAAATCGGGCTCTCTTCCACTCATTTTGGGTGTGCCGCAGGACAGTGTCCTCGGCCTCATCTTTTTTACTACATATATTAAAAACATTGTTAACATGATCGAAGGTGGTGTTCAGATTCAATTATTCACTGATAATAGGCAATATGCGAAATTAACAGCGCCATCTAGTGAACGCAACAGGCACCATATCCGCCATTTTGATGCTGGCGAGGCTTGACCACTACGCGCGGGCGACCCACATGCGAATGTACGCGTTTCAACGCTTCGACTGTCGCAGTCAAAATTTTTTGCTGGCGAAATGCCAGTGCACTGCTGTGTGCCGCTGTGCAAGCAGCACGGAGTCACAGACAGCGATAGGAGCAGGGTATGTGGCATGAATTATGATCTTGCAGCGATCATTTAAACGCAAAACAGGGTATGGCGTACACAAGCTTTATGGGCATAGTCTAGGATGCATGTATCTCCGCGGTGCGCGGGCTGCACAAGAGCAATGCAGGACTAACCATTTTTCTGTGTTACGCAGACAGGCCATGTTTTTATAGGTTTGTCAGCTTTGCGGCGAGGTGTTTTCACTACGTCAGGCCTCTACACGACAGTGGTGCTCTTCGATTTACCGTCTCGAACTCGCTGAGAAGCTGTGCGGCATTCAAATTTTCTTATGACTTCGGGGAAGCCTTGGACTACCCGCAGTCTATCCGCGGTGAGTCTGAGATGGTAAATCGAAGAGCCCCGGAAATTCCCTGCAGTCGAATAGAGAGTCCGCCACTGCTGGTGAAGTAACTAGTGTGACAGAACCGAACTGTTTGGACGGGCTTTTTTGTGACGAGATTACACCATGTAGGTAGACGACGTAGAAATGGTATTTTTGAAGGTGACTGCGCACAGAGACGTGCAGAGCTTCTGCTACTCCGAGTAACATGCCATACATGCATCCTAGGAAGGCAGCTCGGTTGCTTGTCCGCGTTCAAGCTCCATTGTGTCTACAAGTACGGTCACCCCGCAGCAATAAGACAGTCATTCGGAAGATAAGGGCTATGCCTACTTTGGAACAGAAAAGTATCTGCTCAGGCACTTGACTTCCATTCGCCCAACGTGCACGGACGCAACTTTTCCATTGGGGCCTCTCACTAATTTTTCTTTACTAGCGAAATAAAATCGAAAAGATAGCGGGGCGCACTGCCGTAGGTTTCGAAAACTGACACCATGAGTATCGCCAGGGCTCGACTGAATGACGTTCTGCATGAGTTCAGAGCAGTCCTATTTATTCGTAAGACTGGATTCATTCTCTGCATTTTAGTCTCTTTGGCTCAGTTGCGTTGCAGCTGTTTTTTTGTGTTGCAACTCACCTCCCTTGAAAAATGTTTCATTTGCATTATAAAACATACGGCTGTGGAGACAGCCATAACTTAGTTGTATGGGAATCAGCATTTTGGCTGCCTTACACTTGCAGCTCCTAGAAACCTTTGAAGCTACTTAGATATAAAAAATAACTGATTTAAATTCCCTAGAGTGTCCACAAGTGACTAATGCCTCTTAAGGCTTGCTGTGAAGGGCCATATCTAGGAAAGGCTGCTAGGAAACGGGAGTGTGTGCAGAAAAAACTAAGGGGGACGGGGTCACAATACAAGTGCATCATTAGTCCTGCAATGCACATAAAAGTGTGACCTCTATTCCCTGTGAGATGAATTTGTGATAGTGCCTGTGTTTGTAAACAACAATCGTTTAAACAGCTAAGAGAAACCTAGCTCATGACGTCGCACTTAATGTTTGTTTGCTTATATCTTGTAGGTATCCTTCCACCGCTTTCCGAAATATGCAATGAAATACAAGTGGCAAAATGTGGCAAGATTCCTAAACAGTTTGTCCACATCACATGTTCGGGCACTGGGAAACATCTTGCTGTGGCCATCGCAGTAGCTCAGCGCAGTGAAGCAAGTGTTCAGGAGTGATACGGTCGTACTAGCGAACGCGTTGCCGTGGACCACTTGCCCACATTAAAATGGCGGCTGGGTAAAAATGCGCAGTGTTGCCAGAGCTCAAAGCAATTTCGCATATGGTCCATTGTGTGCTTTTTAAAGACATTATTTCTGTCAATGACCAAATTAGTTTACTTAGTAGTTTAAATGGTGCATGCACTAGGGAATGACACTAAACACAGACAAAAGCATAGTAATGCGAATGACACAAGAAATCACCTTTGCTTTATACATATAAATTAGGTTGATCCCCCTACATGAAGTAACCCAATACAAGTAAGTATCTCGGATTTGCCTATAACAACATTTTAACATGGAATGACCACATAAGTAATGCTTGCACCTCACCCTTCAGAAAATTATGCCTCTTGAGGCACAAACTTAAGCACTATCCGATGTAAAACTGCTATGCTGTTACACCCTTATCAGAACTAAACTACAATATGCATGTATCATTTGGGATCCGTATAGTAAAGCTAATAATAACCTCGAGAGAGAGCGCAGATTTATACTTACAGACAGATTTATACTTAAGACAGATTTATACTTAAGGTAGCAGTCGGCGCGTTCAAAGCAAAACTCTTGGGTGAGCCTGTGCTCGGGAAACAAAAACTCAAACTACAGCAATTCACAACGTACGCTGATAGCAGAAACAGAGCATCAGCTTTCGATAGACTGATCACCACTGGAATGCAATGTCTTTTATACATCACACACCTAGCTTTCTAGTATTATCACTAAGGCTCGCACTTGCTCTGGAATAACTTGATTTTTCACGTTCTGCGTGTAATCTTAACATTATAATCTCAAACAACAGCAAAGCTTCCTGAACATTGTGACGTGACCTACACCAAGCGTTGCTAATAGTTTTTGTGGATGAAACTTATGTTCATGTTCTGCCATGCCATCAATTACCGATTTAATCCCTTATGCGTACATCACGACGTTTACACAACAGTCTAAGCATTAGGTGTACTTTTGGAAGGACTCGGTGTTTTAATTCGTCTGCTCTACCTCGTGCCATTGCACTATGGAATAATATCCGCAAAGCCATCGTCACAATCACCGACCGTAAACTCTTTTGTGAACAACTAAACTGATATTTTGAAAATCTTGCTTAAAACTTACAGTAGTGACTTGCCAGAAATTTCAATTTTGCGTAATGATTACCTTTTTGATACTGCTTTACAGTCTTTGGCCTGTGTTTTACCTTTGTATTCATTCTCTGCGCTTAGTGTTTATTATACTTATTGCTCTGTACCCCCCTCACTCAATGCTTCTTCGGAAGCCCTGTGATGTATTCTAAATAAATAAACTTCAATACATCAAAAACGAAACAAGAGCCACGCGTGGCATTATTTTCAGTGCCTTTATGCATCATGCATGAGTACCTACCTATACGCAGAAGCATCTAAATGAGCTCATCGTATTTTTTTCTCTATGCAGACGATGCACCAATCCTATCCTGCCACTCTCTGGAAGCTTTCTGTAGCTAACGTGGTTTTCGAATGCCTCCAGGATTAGAGACACCGAACTTGGTTTTGCACTGCTCCCACAATTGGCCAATCAGTGACCAGGCTACAATGTCATTGTATGACATAACGATGATGTCATAATGATGACATCATGAGGTGACTGCATCACGTGATAACCATTTTTTGCATCACTCGTATTAACATACTAAATTATTTTGCCTGGGTCCTTAATTTCATTAGCTGCCACTTACCAGAAATGTTGTCATTAACTTCCGCAACATCTTGCGACGTTGAAGCACTGGCACAATCTTCGACGGACTCGACCGACCAATGCATCACCGCAGTCATCATCAAGGTGGAAATGGCTGAATAAAAATATGCAAAGGGCTGTCAACACACCAACAAAACAAATAAAAGCAAATGGGTTCAGGCTCAAATTCTTTAAGCACCAATGAAAAATGAAGTGCACGGCGCTAACTTCTACATGTGAGCAATCATTGAAGTATTATGACCATATATGGTGTCGAAACAAGTTTCACATACTGGCTTCTTTTTCATGAAAGTGGTGGAATGATTTGACAATCAAGTTATTGAATGACTTAACTTGAGTTGTTGCATATGCATAAAGTAAGAATATTGAACTCCTGACCAGCGTTTGCGTGTGACGCTTAATTGCTGTGATGGTCTCTCTACCCGCTATATCATCAGCCAATGGGCGCTACTGAAAGCAGACGCTGACCCCCGCTTGAGCGTGAAAAAGATCTCGACAGGTTTGAGCATAGGCGTGTGCACATCACCACTTTTAATTGCGTAAGAGAGGGAGGGGGCACAGTCTGCCCTAGAGCTAGTAGGGAGGGGGGCACCGCAATCAATCCCCCCTTCCCACAATGGGCTTGAGGCTCACATGCATTTAAACATGTACCACGATGTAAGAATAAGCTAAGTGATGACACTGCGCGCGGCGCTGCGTCCGGAATGTCTTAGCCACCTGGGCTGTTTCTGTTTGATGTGCCAGATGGCACTCACGGAGGGTGGGTCAAGACGCTCACTGGGGAGCAACTCCGATCCGTGTGTAGAAGGTTATTGGAGCCTCGCTTGTTCATTACGCTCGATATGCACATGTACATGGATGTCAATAAATCAATGCACTGTGACTTTGCTGTATCAAAATCGATTTTTGAATTTTATATACAGTTTTTCGGTAACAGTGTTATTGAGGATTAAATGCTCCAACAACATATAACGTTGGCCTAGAGAGCAGTTATAATTGAGGTGACAGCATTAAAGAGCTCGTTTCGTTAAAATTCTGGTTAGTGGATGTTAGTGGATGGTTAGTGGATGTTAGCATCTTTGGTTCGGAATGTGAAAAAGCAGTCTTGTCTGTGAGAGAAAATTTGAGGTATTTGCAAATAAGGATAGCAGCCCTAGGGCAAAGCCACGATAGCTATTAGGAAGGCGATAGTCTGCGTGCTTGTGTTTGTGCATGTATGTGAGTGCATGTGTGCCTGCATGTGTGTGCACGCACACGCGGATATCGCTGTCGCGTTCTGGTTGCTCAGCAAAATGAAAGAAAAACTTCATCAGAAAACGAACTAATGTATCACGACACTATCAACTGAAGCGTGACGATACACAGATTTTGGCCTCTGGCAGTGTAAGCAGCAAGCATGGTGGAAAAAACTTCATTGACTCCCAAACGTCGACCGTGGCTTAACCCATGCTACACTCATGTTGGGACTGTCGGGCCAGTGACATCAGCCATACTTAGTGCTATTTCATTAAGCCTCACGGACTTCAACTTGATGAAGTACTCATCAGACAGTGAAAGCAAGCGCGCTACTGCAAATGAGTTTTGCGCAAGCTCGCAAGATGGCGGAAGGGTTAAAAAAAGGGAAAGACGACAACCACCCATTTGTACCACAAAACTACAAAGAAATCCATATAGATTTCTCAAAAAGAAAAGCCTCGGAGTTGCCGAAAAATTTGCCCTAGTCCAACGTTCGAACCCGGGACCAACATCTATCCAGGGCAGTCGCTCTGCCAATCGAGCTAACCAGGAAGTTTGCAATTGACAGCGCGAGGGCGAATTTATCGACAACTTGTCAATGAATATTCCTTTAAAGAATCAACTGAGGTTAGATGTAGACCTATAGTAGCCCAGGACTGTAGGCAGAGTCGGCTGCTGGATTGTGGCTTCTTGCCAGCTTTCTAGCCAGGCGCCTTTTTATTTTTTCTACACAGACTTGAAGGTCGAGAGCGGTTTTAATTTGCTGGGTGCTCTGAAAGGGGTCCACAACTGCTGCAGCAACGATGAGGCGGTCGGGCTCTTCCAATGTGCATCGGCTGCGTCCTGGTCGAGCATCTTTCAGTCGGCCATCTTCAGACCTGTCATCATCATCAGCCTGACTACGTCCACTGCAGGACAAAGGCCTCTCCCATGTTCCGCCAGTTAACCCGGTCCATTCAGACCTGTAGGCCTGAATAATTCTGCTGACGGCACTCATAGACCTCCGGGTGAGGCGGCATATCTCACATTGAAAAACACCTTCTCAACTATCCTTCTCTGCTCGTGGATTGGCACTCTCTTAGGCATGCTGCCTAAACAAAAAAAGCGCTGAATTTCGCAACAGTTCAATAGCTTTTATTCTTCCCATCTTCTTATCAATCAGGCGTGCAAACTGCTCACGAATACTTCAGATGAAAGTGCACCTTTTGCCACACTATACACAGTCACGCATGGTAAATCTATAGTAACGTTTACCCCCAGTGGCGCACTGCGCCGGCTTTTTATACACGCGTCGTAACGCGTTCCAGAGTGGCATACAAGATAAACGCGGCCTGCGTTGCGCTTAACAGAAAGTGATAGCGTCTTCCTTCGTAAACCAAAAGAACCGCACGTGTCAGTCTTTTATACACGCGTCATAACGCGTTCCAGAGTGGCATACAAGATGAACGCGGCCTGCGTTGCGCTTAACAGAAAGTGATAACGGCTTTCTTCGTAAACCAAAAGAACCGCACGTGTCACTACCCCCCTCTGAAAAAGCATCGTCCCGATGCTAAAGACAGAACATAAGAGAGAGTATATGCAATAAATTACATTAACAATGCGTCACAGCTAATCAGCGCGCGTAATAAGGTTTAAGTCGCACCACGTGTACGACTTCGGGTCGTGCACGGCGTCGTTGGGATGACGTTAAGCCATCGGGCACGACCTCATAGTCCAGTTCACCACGACGTCGGACTACCTTGTAGGGTCCAAAGTAGCGTCGCAGGAGCTTCTCAGACAATCCCCGTCGTCGTATCGGCGTCCAGACCCAGACAAGGTCGCCGGGTTGGTATTCGGTGTGGTGTCGTCGAAGGTTGTAGTGGCGCCTGTCGACCGTCTGTTGGCTCTTGATACGCTGGCGGGCTAGCTGTCGAGCTTCTTCAGCGCGATCCAGGTAGCTGGCGACATCGAGGTCTTCTTCGTCGGTGCCGACCGGTAGCATGGCGTCAAGCGTCGTTGTTGGGCTCCGTCCGTAGACGAGCTTGTATGGAGCAAACTGCGTCGTTTCCTGCACGGCCGTGTTGTACGCGAAGGTTACATACGGGAGTATGGCGTCCCACGTCTTGTGCTCGACGTCCACGTACATGGCCAGCATGTCGGCGATGGTCTTATTTAGACGCTCGGTGAGGCCATTCGTCTGTGGGTGATACGCGGTGGTTCGGCGGTGGCTTGTCTGACTGTACCTCAAGATCGCTTGCGTTAGGTCAGCCGTAAAGGCCGTACCTCTGTCGGTGATGAGGACCTCGGGGGCTCCGTGGCGGAGGACGATGTTCTCAATGAACAACTTGGCGACCTCGGCGGCAGTGCCCTTGGGCAAGGCCCTTGTTTCGGCATAGCGGGTGAGGTAGTCAGTCGCTACGACAATCCATTTGTTGCCAGAAGTTGACGTCGGGAACGGCCCCAGTAAGTCCATGCCGATTTGTTGGAATGGCCGTTGAGATGGTTCGACGGGTTGCAGAAGTCCGGCTGGCCTAGTTGTCGGCGTCTAGCGTCGCTGACAGTCTCTGCATGTTTTTACGTAGTGGGCGACGTCGGCAGTGAGGCGAGGCCAATAGTACTTCTCTTGTATTCGTGACAGTGTGCGGTAAACACCAAGATGTCCGGCTGTCAGGTCGTCGTGTAATGCTTCCAGAACCTCTGGACGTAACGCTGAAGGTACCACGAGGAGGTGGTCGGCGCGGAGCAGCGAGAAGTTCTTCTTCAGGAGGACGTTGTTTCGCAGGAAAAACGAAGCCAGTCCTCGGTGGAATACTTTCGGCACGTCGGCGGTCTTGCCTTGCAGGTAGTCCATGAGGATCTTGAGCTCTGGGTCAGCTCGTTGGCGTTCCGCGAAGTCGTCGGTACTTATGGGTCCCAGGAAAGAGTCGTCGTCCTGGTCATCCTGGGGCGGCGGATCGACAGGGGCGCGAGACAAGCAGTCGGCGTCGGAGTGCTTTCGTCCGCTCTTGTAGACGACGGTGATGTCAAATTCTTGTAGTCTGAGACTCCACCGTGCGAGGCGCCCTGATGGATCCTTCAAGTTAGCTAGCCAACACAAGGCGTGGTGGTCACTCACGACTTTGAAAGGCCTGCCGTACAGGTAGGGGCGGAACTTTGATGTAGCCCAGATGATGGCAAGGCATTCCTTTTCTGTCGTGGAATAATTGGCTTCTGCCTTCGAAAGTGACCGGCTAGCGTAACTGATGACCCTTTCAAGTCCGTCGGTCCTCTGCACGATCACGGCGCCGAGCCCTGTGCTGCTTGCGTCCGTGTGAATTTCGGTGTCAGCTTCTTCGTCGAAGTGCGCCAGTATTGGCGGCGTTTGCAGGCGTCGCTTTAATTCTTGAAATGCCTCGACTTGCGGCGTTTCCCATTTGAAGTCGACGTCGGCCTTCGTGAGGTACGTCAGTGGCTCGGCGATCCACGAAAAGTTCTTCACGAAGCGCCTGTAATAAGCGCAGAGGCCAAGAAATCGGCGTACTGCTTTCTTGTCGGTGGGTGCAGGAAAGTCGGCGATCGCAGCTGTTTTCTGTGGATCAGGGAGCACTCCCGACTTGCTGATAACGTGGCCAAGGAACAATAGTTTCTCGTAGGCGAAGCGGCACTTTTCTGGCTTCAGGGTAAGTCCCGAGGCTTTGATTACCCGAAGAACAGCTTCAAGGCGCCGGAGGTGCTCGTCGAAGTTGGAAGAAAATACGACTACGTCGTCCAAGTAGACGAGGCAAGTCTGCCACTTCAAGCCTGCGAGTACTGTGTCCATAACCCGTTGGAACGTCGCAGGCGCCGAGCAAAGACCAAAGGGCATGACCTTAAACTCGAATAGGCCGTCTGGTGTTATGA